GAAAAGTTACAGTAAAAATACAATATTATAATCTAATGGGACCACTGTCATATATGTGGCTCATCGTTGACTGAAATGTCGTTACAGGGCATGTGACTATACACTTCTGAACAGAACACATAATTTCTTCACATATTTTATTTTATTTTATTTTTTATTTTATTTTATTTTATTTTTGAGACGGAGTCTCTCTCTGTCACCCAGGCTGGAGTGCAGTGGCCGGATCTCAGCTCACTGCAAGCTCCGCCTCCCGGGTTCACGCCATTCTCCGGCCTCAGCCTCCCGAGTAGCTAGGACTACAGGCACCCGCTACCTCGCCCGGCTAGTTTTTTGTATTTCTTAATAGAGACAGGGTTTCACCATGTTAGCCAGGATGGTCTCGATCTCCTGACCTCGTGATCCGCCCGTCTCCGCCTCCCAAAGTGCTGGGATTACAGGCTTGAGCCACCGCGCCCGGCCTCTTCACATATTTTAAGCTCTAACTATAGAAGTAGTATATTTAGATACCACTTATGGAGATTTTTATGCTAAAAATAGCGTTTCTGAAGTTTCTTTAATCAGGCAATTTTGGAACTATATTTTAGCCACGCTGCTGTGACCAGGTTTGCATACATGCAAAACTCTCTGAAGTGCAGACATGAGAGGGCTGCAGCTGACAGGGCCTTCCTTGCTTCTCTCATAGATGCTGTGCAGTGTCTCCACAAAGAGCTTGTACCAATTTCTCCTCTCCTGGCGGTGTGTGCAGTTCTCCTGACTCCATAATTTCAATTTAAACACGACACAGCAAAAACACAAACTTACTGATCTGGTTGTCTTGCCAAACTCTACAATTATTCCAGGACATATCTTGAGGCATAAAGTGGAACCATTATGTTTGCATTAAAAATGCACATGTGAAATACACCGTTTACATGGAAATAGAGAAAAATGAAACATTCTAACATTACAGCATAGAATATTTCATCAGCAAATATTAATAAAGTTGGGAAAGCCATTATTGCACAAATCTAAAAAAATGAGTGCTCTCATCTTGGAATTGGTTGGGATATTCACTAGTAAGGAGATTTTAACTTTCAACTAGACAGCAAATACTTAATATGTTAATTGGTCATACTCTTTGACAAAGATGATCATTTGTAGGAATGTATCCTTTAGATACATCCTGGGAGAACTCTGCCATCATCAATAATGTTTCCCTACTGCTCAGGGCAGAGCTAACCATTTCCCTTGGTGCCTTGAGGACCCCTGACCCTGCTTCATCCATCCTGCCATCCAAACAAGAAAATCTCTTTCAAGACTGGATGCACAGCCTCAATGAATCATCCATGGATCCACCTCAGGTGTTGATATGCACCAGTGCTCATGTTCTTACTCCTGGAGGGATTTATAGACCTCTGACCTCTTCCTTATCTGGAAGAAAACTTCCTTCCTATTCCCTTTCTGTGTCCTCAAAGACCCTTCCCTCCCTACCAGGTGCAAGTAGGCCAACCCTTTCTTTAAGCTTAGATTTTCACAGAGGATGGAAGAAATAATGGCTTCAGACAGCTTCTGCTTCCATCCCTGCCATAAACCTCCCCTCAGGCAAGGGGAAGGGGGACAAAGCCTGGCTCCCTTCTGTAGGGAGGGTAAACATGGGAAAACAGAAATTAACCTCACAGCGGTACATGTCTTGATACATTTGCTGAAGCGCTTTCACCAGCAACTCAAGGTACCCAAGCTGGCAGGTTCTATCCCTGACTTTGGCAGTGGGTGTGGTGAGAAACCTCTTTGCCATCCAGCTCTATGGTTAGGAGTACTTGCTTTGTAGTCACTTACATTCATGAAGAAAGGATAGCGATACCTCACTATCAGGGCTGTCGAGATTAAATCCAACTATGAAGGTGAAGAACCTGGAACTGGACACCTCTAAACAATCTGCTCCATAAATGGTAGCTGTCTTTCCTCCCTAGAGCAGGAACTCATGTGACAAATTTGCCTGCCTTTTCAGCCAAGACACCTTAACCAGCATGCACATCAGAGTCACTTTGATGAGCCTTTTCTAAACCCTCAGCTGAAACTCCCTTGTTGGTGGAAATAGGACTTCTGCACAAAGTCCATTCAAGTTATTAAGATGTAATAATACTGGCCTCAGAAAACGGACACATTGGTGTGGCACCAATAGGGTATATGAGTCTGTTTCTTCTTTATTTCACCAACACTAGTTATTAACAGCTTTTGTCTTGCCAACCTGAACTGCTCGTTTTCTCCATACCTGCCCCATTGGAAGTGTCATTCAGACTGTCGGTAAACTTACATATCCAGAGATTCCTCTCCTAGGGTTGCCAGATTTAGCAAATAAAAATACAGAATTCCCAGTTGCATTCAGATAAATGAAATAATATTGCATGCCACACCCAGAGAAACAGAACCAGTAGGGCATGTGTGTGTGTTTGAGATAGAGAGAGATTCATTTTAAGGAACTGTTTCACATGATTACTGGAGGCTAAAAGTCCAATCTCTGTATGGTAGGCTTGCAGACTGGAGAATAAGGCACATCCAATGTTGCAATTCAATTCTGAAGGCTATCTGTTAGTAGTATTCCCTTTTGCTCAGGGATGTCAGATTTTCTCTCTATTCAGGTCTCCAGATGATTGGATGAGGACCACCCACACTATAGAGGGCAGTCTGCTTTATTCAAAGTCCACTAATTTAAATGTTAATCTCATCCAAAAACATCCTTACAGAAACACTCAGAATAATGATGATGAGATATATGGGTACCATGGCCCAGTCAAGTTGATGCATAAAATTGACCATCATACTTACATTAAAAATTATTCATTTTTATCTGGAATTTAGATTTAACTGGATGTCCTCTATTTTATCTGGTTACCCTAAACATGGGGACTCTGTGTTGAACCAAGGTGCTCCAGGAAGCAACCCCAGCTGAGCTGCAGGTGGCATCAGCACCAATTGTCCTTCATGTGAATAAACTCTCTTGGATGTCCCAGTGGAGTGTAGCCTCACAGCCCCATGAAACAGACACCACATGCAGCAGAAAACACATTGCTGAGCTCAGTCAACACTCAGATTTCTGAAAGATAATAAATGGTTTGTTTTGGAGTGTTTGTTAGGTAGAAATGGTTATCTAAAACATGGTTGGGGTGAACTTTTCACCTTTTTCTGTACTTTGTTATCATTGGAGGTCAAAGGGATTCTCTTATCCTTGAAGGCTTGGTGGGACATTGTTATATTAATAATTTTGAGTACAGTTTCTGTGTTTGTTTATGTGTGTGTACAAATTTCTGAATATTTAATCAATTCCTTCTTGAAGGAATTTTCAATGGAAGCTATCACAATATATGATTTTCAACCTACTCTTTAAATTTAGAACCTAATTCCATAAGATGAGCCTCTATTGCAATCATATGAACTAAGGTACTGACAGAGTGTTGTCACAAATGACTCCACGGGGAAAGCCTCAGAGATTGGCTTTGGCTTAGTGAGTATTCATTCTGAACAAGGGTTATTTATGTACTTTGAGAAGTGTTTCTGAAAGAAGAGATCTTGAAACTCTCCTGCTACAGGGAATTGCCTTGCAAGGAAGCTACTTTCCATGAGAACACATAGACAGGACTCCTGCACCAGACAGCAGCTTGATATGCATTGCAGTCCTTGGCCTTTATGATTTTCCCATCATGGCACTACTTAGTGGATAAATCTTTTTCAATTTTGTGGATCCTTCATAGGAAGCCCACACGCCAGCAAATCTAAGTCATCTTCTCTAATATCTTCTTTATAAGGAATAAAGTCCATGTATTTTTCTTCTTTCATCTATTTATTACTTGATTTCAAGCTTAGACTTGAAGCAGCGAGGTAAATTGCTTAAACAATCCAAGCAATTTGGAGAAAGACAATAGAAATAGTTGAGCCAGTGTGGCACAGAAAGAGGAGTAGCACTGTGGGCCTATTGTAAGATCCACCTCTGGACTGGGCTCGGTGGCTCACGCCTGTAATCCCAGCACTTTGGGAGGCTGAGGCAGGTGGATCACCTGAGGTCAGGAGTTCAAGACCAGCCTGACCAACATGGAGAAACCCCATCTCTACTAAATAGACAAAATTAGCCAGGTGTGGTGGCGCATGCCTGTAATCCCAGCTACTCGGGAGGCTGAGACAGAAGAATTGCTTGAACCTGGGAGGCAGAGGTTGCAATGAGCCAAGATTGCACCATTGCACTCCATCCTGGGCAACAAGAGTGAAACAGTGAAACTCCATCTCAAGAAAAAAAAAAGATCCACCTCTGAGGGCAGGGAAGAACAGGTGTCCCTGAAGAGCAGCTTACTACCAAGAATTTTGAAGGGAGGCAGTCTGGGTAGTGCAGCCCCTTTTTCTTCTTCCCAGCTCACCAATTAGATAAGTTCCTCCTGTGACAGAACAGGATTGAGTGTATAGAGAGTCTAGAAATGTTGTGGTCATGAATGTCCCTCCACATGCAGGAATGAAGGATAATAATTTTCTCAAGACAAACCATTGTATGGTTGAATTGATTAGGTTCCTGTCTACTAAATGACTGTATTATTTTAGGCTTACATTACTGAAATAACTCTGAGATATCTTAAATGACATATTTTGTTGTTCCTAGATCTTTTAGTCACATGATTATAGATAGTCTTAGTTTTCTGCCACAGATGGATAACTGCTTTAGTATGGTGTGTGAATTGTACATGCTCCTCCTCAGTGAGTTAGCTCATCTCCAAGAGCTCCAGGTCTCTGTGCACTGGTGATATTCCTCTACTGTCACTTTTAAACAAAACTATTGACAACCGGGACTTTGTTCCATCAAATCTGGCAGAATTCTATCAATTGGCTCCGTCCCAGCCTAGTTCCTCTAATTATTATAGCTACCCAGGAAGCCGCCTGAAGAGTGAAGGCATTTTCTCTTAGTGAAAGGCAAGGAGTCAAAAGGCCACTCTACGGCATTTCCGGTGTGCTGGACCAGCCTGCGTATCACGGTTGCCATAGAAACCTGACGTCATCGCGGCGACCGTGGAGACTTTTAAAATAGAGGTCAACATGACCGGGCAAGAAGAGCAGGGTCCTTCCTTCAGGTGTTTGGGACTCAACTGAGGGTGTGGGTGCCCCGCGGGGGGGCTGAACCTTCCTGGGGTGTGGAGAGACGAAAGGAGCCCAGATCCAAGTTCCTTCGTTCCCGCTTTGGCACAAGTTGCCCGGGCGGTCTCATGAGAGAGAGAGAGCTGGGACCCTCCTGGCCCCAGTGAGTGTGGTGTCTTGCTCCGGGTGTCCTGGGGCAACTTTCTATATAAAGGCGGGACGTGGGGAGGATGAGACAGGTAAGGACTCTCTGAGCCCAGCCTCTCCTTCTGTAAAATGAGAATGAGAATGCTCACCCACAGGATTGCTGCAACCTGCAGTGATAATACAGGTGCAAGATGATAGATAGCCCTGTGGTTGTTATGGGACGATGGGTGCTTTATGGATTCAGTCTATTTCTTATTCTTTTATTTTTTGAAAACAACACAAATTTATTATTTTACAGTTTTGGAGTTCAAAAGTCCAAAGTGGGTCTCACTGGGCTAAAATCAAGGTGTCAGCAGGGCTATGTTCCTTCTGGAAGTTCTAGTGTAGAATGAATTTTCGTTTTTTTCCAGCTTCTAGAAGCTGCTTGCATTCCTTGGCTCATGCCCTCACATTACTCTGACCTCCATATTGTGGTCACATCTACTTCTCCGATTTTATTGCCTCCCTGTTTCCCTCATAAAGACCCTTGTAATTATATAAGGCCCACCCAGATGATCCAGAATAACCTCACCATTTTAAGATCATTAACTTAATCACACCTGTAAAGTTCATTTTACCATGTAATGTAACATATTCACTTGTTCCAGAGACTAGGACATGGATTTATTTGGGGTAGAGGAGTGTTATTCAGCCTACAGCACAGTTGTATATTAGATACTGTGATGGATAGCCTCAATTTGTCTCTTCAAAGTGTAGCTTTGGCTACACTCCACCCCTCACCAACCTACTCTGTGCTCCACAGGTCTGATCCTTATAGACTACAGCAACTCAGATCCCTTCTCCTTAGGCTTCCAGTTGGGTTTGGCCAATGGGAGATACTAGCAAGTGAGTGAGGGAAAGGTGGGGTATGTGTCCCCACTGCCAGATTCCTTGGTGTTGGGCTACAGGTTGGTAGTAGTTGTGTTCCTCTACCAAGGGCTCAGGCCATTTCCCCATTCTTTTTTAAAGTTGTTATTAGGTGACAAATGGAAAGGAGAAGAAAAGGCCCTGGTGAGAAACTCATTGTACCTTCTGGTTGTTATGATCACTAACCAATTGTATCAGTGTCATTGGTCACTAACTCAGTGCCCAGCATGGTTGCAGTCACTTCAATAAAGCATAGTGATTGCTGGAGCCTGTCTCTCCCCAGGAAGCACCTCATGGGGGCAACTAAACTTATATCAGGTGTCTGAAGGAGGTGGGTTCTGATGATCTGGGTCATGATGGCTGCTGAAGCTTTTACTTCAGACTTGAAGGACAGCAGTCCTCAGGAGATCTCTAGCACTTCCATCCTTGGTGGGATATGATTCCTGGCTCAAGTGAGTTCATAGATCTGAACAGAAGTGTGTTATAGAATAGTACCTGTGTAGTTCACAAAGTAGTCTAAAAGTAGAGCAGGCAGTTTGATCTCATCATTGGAAAAGAGGCTCAACAGGTGGACTCCATTGTGTGCATCAGCAGCTACATGCTTTGTAGTATCCCTTGAGGCCCATTTGGAGATACCTTTCTTAAAGCAATGAAATGTTCAGTTGGGGAAGGAACTTGATATTTAACATGCATTTGCAATAAATTTACACATAGTTTTCTGACTGTATAAATAATAATTCATTATTCCCATGTATCTCGGATGGAAGTTGAAATATGCAGTTGGTTAGAAGATCTTCATAGCAATTTGAGATTGTAATATGCATGCTTTCATGGTTAGCGTGTTTTCATCCATTCTGCAATGTAATTTTTTAAGAGGCCAGGAATTTACTAAGTGTTAGTTAAATGTCAGGTACAAGAATTTAGTATTTTTGAAAATAACGATTACTTGATAGTTTGCCCAATTATAATGATACCTAGTCACATCTCCTAAAATAACCAGATAAGCCTGAGTATTATTATTATTATTTCCAAGGAAATAACATTTTCAGTTCTATATTACCTGGGCTCCCTACCCCTCCTACTGCGCTGTCTCTAGGCAAACACATTTCTGTCACTATAGATTTGGTTTTATGTCCTAGAAATGTATTTAAGTGGAGTCATAGAGAGGTTTTTTCTAAGAGGAATCTGACTTTTTTCATTCACCCTATTTAATTTTAGATTTATCCATTTCTTTGCATATAGCAGTAGTTTATTCTTTGTTATTGCTTAATAGCATTCCAGTATATGGCTATACCACTATTTGTTTTATCCATCCACCTGTTGATGGATATTTGGGTTGTTTCTAATTTGGGACACTTATAAATAAAGCTGATATGAACATATGTGAATAAGTCTTTTCATAGACATATGCGTTATTTCTTTGGGGTATATATTTAGGAGTGCAATTGCTGGATATATGGTAGATATAAGATTAACATTGTAAGAAACTACCAAGCTGTTTCCAAAGTGGTTGTATCACTGCTGTCACCAGCAGTGTATGAGAGTTTTATCCTCCCCAACCTTGCAAGTGCTTGATATGGTCAGTCTCTTTAATTTTGGCCATTCTTACAAGAATATAGTAGTATTTCATTGCAGTTTTCATTTACATTTCCCTAATGATTAATGTTGTTGAGTGTGTTTTTCATGTGTTTACTTGACATTTGTATATGTATATATCTTCTTTAGTGGAATGTATATTCAAATATTTTGCCCATTTGTTTACTTAAGTGTCTGTTTTCCTCTGACTTTTGTGATATTTTCTATATTCTGGTACAAGTCCTTCATCAGATATATGATTTTAAACACTTTCTCCTAGTCAGGGACTTGTATTTTCATTTTCTTACCCATATATTTGGAAAAGCAAAAGTTTTTGACTTTGAGGAAGTCCAATTTATTGATTTGTTCACTTACGGATTGTGGTTTTCATGTCATATATTAATGTAATAGCATGACTACAGAGAGAATACTTGGAATTGTAATAGCAAGCAGGGATAAGCCCACATTTCCACTAGGTGACAACTTCACTGTCATTCTGTGTGTGGGAGAGGGTTGTGGGATGGAGCTGAGGAAGACGAAAAGCATCATTGCACAGCTTCCAAGTAACTGAATGGGAATAGGGAAGACATCATCACCCCATCCCCTGTTTTCGTGTGCTTTTTCATCCTCTTACCTTCCTCCTCATTTCATGTGCTTTCTTGTCCTCTTACTCTCCCATCTAGTTAACGTGAGACAAGGGTGTTGACTGTGCAGCGCAGAACCAGTAGTTTGTAGAGAAGAACCAGGTGTGATGTTGAATCTGCTAGACAGGCTACTGAAGCAAAAGTCAAGAGATCCAGATCCCATCATGGGGACACTTTAGGTAAGTCACTACCCTTCCTTCAGATTAGTCTATACAACAGGATAAAAATACCCAATTCTCCTGACCACCAGGAATACTCTGGAGTTTAAGTATGATCTCATGTGGGAAAGCAGTCTTCCCTCCCCCTTAGAAAAGTAGTATACATTCGAGTAATTACATTAATAGGGATATTCCAGATGTCCCAGAACTCTGCATGGTAGGCATTAAATTAATGGTGCTCAAGTGTGAACTATTTTTTTTTTTTTTTGAGATGGAGTCTCGCTCTGTCACCCAGGCTGGAAGTACAGTGGCATGATCTTGGCTCACTGCAATCTCTGCCGCCTGGTTCAAGCGATTCTCCTGCCTCAGTATCCTGAGTGGCTGGGATTACAGGTGCCCACCACCACGCCCAGCTAATTTTTGAATTTTTGGTAGAGACAGGGTTTCACCATGTTGGCCAGGCTGGTGTTGAACTCCTGATCTCAAGTGATCTGCCCACCTTGGCCTCCCAAAGTGCTGGGATTACAGGCGTGAGCCACTGCGCCTGGCCAAATATGAACTGTTGAGGTCAGGATTTTTCCCAGTGTGGTCTATGGATCACTTCATCAAATTCATCAGGTGGTGCTCGTTAAAATAGCAGATACTTGGACCTACCCTAGATCTGCTGAATCAAAACCAGGGAGGTAGGATGGGAGGTGTTTCCATTTAAAGTAATATCTTCAGTTGGTCCGGTACTCATCTTAGTGCATTCTGAGCTACTATAACAAAATATAACTCGGTAGCTGATAAACAACAGAAATTTATTTCTCACAGTTCTGGAGGCTGAGAAATCCAAAATTAAGGCACTGGCAGCTTCAGTGTTTTGGTGACGGCCCACTTCCTTCATAGATGGATGACCTCTTACTATAACCTCCCTTGGTGGAAAGGGCTAGCTAGCTCTCTGGAATCTCTTTGATAACAGCACTAATCTCAGTTAGTGACAGAGGACAGAGCCCTAATGACCTAAAAACCTCTCACAGCCTCACCTTCTAATACCATCACCTTGGTATTAGGTTTTAACATGAATTTGAGGTGGGGGGTCACAGATATTCAGACTATAACATCATCCATGTTTGAAAAGCTCTGCTATGGATGTACAAGACCTTCTTACAGTTTTGAATCATTTAATATCTAATTTCATTGATAGTTGCTCCTGCTACTCAGCTTAAATGTCTGTCTTCTTTGGTCTCTTAAATAGGCAACAATTCCTTCAATTAAGTAATATTATTTAAGTGATTATATGTGAAGGACTAAAGTAGGCACTGAGGAAACAGCACAGAGAATAAGATAGGCAGGGTCCCTGGAGCTGTCATTCTAGTTTGGGAAAAGTGGCAGTAAGCAGGTAAACAATAAGCCATGTGATTTCATATGAGGATATGTGTTTTGAAGAAAATAAACAGGTGGAGTAGAAAATGACTGAGACAGGGATTATTATAGGTGGGGTTGTCAGTGAGACTCCTTCTCAGGAAGTGACACTTGAGCTGAGTCCTAAACGATAAGAAGAAGCCAGGCATGGAGAGACCATTTTGTCAGTGTCCCTGTGCTGTGTGTGGGAACCATTGATCCGGGAGCAGAGGACAAGCTGGAGTGACTGGAGCCTGGCACATAAGTGCAGACAGGTGGAAGATGAGATCGAAAGGGTAGACAGGAACCACATGGTTTCAGTCCTGTAAGGAGTTTGAGTTTTATTCTGAGTGTGGAGGGTTAGAGTATGAGAGTGATGTGATCTGATTCTTGATGTGGAAGCTGACTCTGGCTGCTGTGTGGAGAATGGTCTGGAGAGGGACAAGATAGGGAGTAGGGATAACCATTAGGAAAATATTGCAGAAGTCCAGGAGAGGGATGTGTGTGGATGAGGCCAGGGCTGCAGCTATGTGCAAAGGTAGGGATGGACCTGGGCAGGGCGTGTTTGCAGGTCAGGCAGGTAGGACCTGCAGTGGCTGTGTGCCTGCGGTGTGTAGATAATGGAGAGTTAGGGAGAACCCCTGGGCTTTTTGTTTGGCCATGCAGAGAAATGGTGGTGCTGTTTTCTGAGATCAGACCTTCCAAGTGCTTTGAATGTTCTCAAGTTTTTTAGTTAGTTTTACTATAACTAATATTAGTTATAATAAAAATTAGTGATTTAAAAAATATGTTGGTTGATGAATATGATTCAGCTGTAAGACTATTAAGCTTTTTTTCCCCAGCATCTCTGTAGTAGAATTTTTTAAATGATGTGATTACTCGCCATTTATCTTTTTAAAAACTCAAACACAAGTTAATAAATATATTTTTAAATGTTTTGTCTTCTACATTATGTACCGTATAATGCCAGTTTTATGGATGTAACAAATGAGTGACTATAAGGTGAAGTAAAAGTATTTAAAGTCACTCAGTCTTTACGTGGCAGAACTAGGGCTTGTCTCTATTCTGTCTCCAGAGCCCACACTACTGACCAATACACCTAGGAAGAAGAAAAAGCATTTGTGAGGTATGGTGATTACCCAAGGTCACCATCTAGAGTTAATGGTTTAGATCTGTCACTGTGTCCCAAGTATGTGTCCTGTCTTACTCCCAGCTCCCTGTTCATTAGACTTCGCATTAGCCTTGTTACTACGTGTAGTGAATCACTTTTCAAGGGCTTAGGATGGATGTTTTCCTGAGGTTAACCTGCAGGTAACATAAGAGTACACTCCATACCTTCAAATGAAAAGAAATGGCGTGTTGATTTTCTTATCCAGCCCCAAACTATACTGAAAGAATACAGGAAAATTTCTTAAGTCATACAAAATGTGCTTTTTTTTTCTGTCTGGCTCCTTCAGCATCTTACCATGAATTTTACATTTATTATTATCTATAGTTGTAGATCATTCATTCTTGTTAATGTGTAGTATTATGTTGTGTGGATATTTTGCAATAAATGTATCTATTATGGTGATATGCCTATTTTTCAGTGTTTGTCTTATTATGAATAACAGTGCTATGAATGTCTTCTACATCTCTTAACTGTTATTTTAGGTTCAGGGGCACATGTACAGTTTTGTTATATAAGTAAACTTGTGTCACAGGGGATTGTTGTACAGATTATTTCGTGACTCACGTAATAAGCCTAGTACCCATTAGTTATTTTTTCTAATCATCTCCCTCCTCCCACCTTCCACCCTCAGGTAGGCCTCAATGTCTGTTGTACCCCTCTTTGTGCCCATGTGTTCTCACCATTTAGCTCCTACTTATAAGTGAGAATACGTGGATTTGGTTTTCTGTTCCTGCATAGTATGCAAAGGATAGTGGCCTCCAGCTCCATCCATGTTGCTTCAAAGGACATGATTTCATTCTTTTTTCTGGCTGCATACTATTCTATGGTGTATATGTACCACATTTTCCTTATCCAGTCTACCATCAATGGGCATTTCTATTGATTCCATGTCTTGGCTATTGTGAATACTGCTGCAATTAGCATGTGTCTTTATGACAGAACAATTTATATTCCTTTGGGTGTATACCCAGTAATGGAATTGCTGGGTTGAATGGCAGTTCTGTTTTCCGCTCTTTGAGGAATCATCACACTGCTTTCCACAATGGTTGAATGAATTTACCCACCCACCAATGGTGTATAAGCATTCTCTTTTCTCTGCAACCTTGCCAGCATCTGTTATTTTGTGATTTTTAATAATAGCCATCTGACTGTGTGAGATGGTATCTCATTGTGGTTTTGATTTGCATTTCTCTAATGATCAGTAATGTTGAGCTTTTATTCGTATGCTTATTGGCCACATGTTTGTCTTCTTTTGAAAACTCTTCATTTCCTTTGCCCACTTTTTAATGGAGTTGTTTGTTTTTTTTCTTGTAAATTTGTTTAAGTTCCTTATAGATGCTGCATATTAGACTTATGTCAGATGCATAGTTGGCAGATATTTTCTCCCATTCTGTAGGTTGTCTGTTTACTCTGTTGATAGTCTTTTTTGCTGTACAGAAGCTCTTTAGTTTAATTAGATTCCATCTGTCAACTTTTGCTTTTATTGCAGTTGTTTTGATGTCTCTGTCATGAAATGTTTGCCCCTTCCTATGTCCAGATGGTATCGCCTAGGTTGTCTTCTAGGGTTTCTATAGTGTTGGATTTTACATTTAAGTCTTTAATCCATCTTGAGTTTATTTTTGTATATAGTGTAAGGAAGGGGTCCAGTTTCAATCTTCCGCATAAGGGCATCCCAGCACCACTTATTGAATAGGGAGTCCCTTTGCTTGTTTTTGTCAAGTTTCTCAAAGATCATATGGTTGTAGGTGTGCAACCTTATTTCTGAGCTCTCTATTCTGTTCCATTAGTCTATATGTCTGTTTTTGTACTACTAATGTGCTGTTTTGGTTACTGTAGCCCTGTAGTATAGTTTGAAGTTGGGGAGTGTGATGCCTCCTGCTTTATTCTTTTTGCTTAGGATTTCCTTGGCTATTTGGGTTCTTTCGGGTTTCACATGAATTTTAAAGTAGTGTTTTCTAGTTCTGTGAAGAATGTCATTGGTAGTTTGATAAGAATAGCATTGAACTTGTCCATTGCTTTGGGCAATATGGCCATTTTCATGATATTAATTTTTCTTGTCTATGAGCATGGAATGTTTTTCCATTTGTCATCTCTGGTTTCTTTGAGCAATGTTTTGTAATTCCCATTGTAGAGTTTTTTTTTTTTTTTTTTTTTTTTTTTTTTAACCTCCCTGGTTAGCCATATTCCTAGGTATTTTATTCTTTTTGTGGCAATTGTGAATGGGATTGTATCCTCATTTGGCTCTCGGCTTGGTTGTTGTTGGTGTATAGGAATGCTAGCGACTTTTTTTTTGGATGGAGTCTCGCTGTCACCCAGCCTGGAGTGCAGTGGCATGATCTTGGCTCACTGCAACCTCCACCTCCTGGGTTCAAGTGATTCTCCTGCTTCAGCCTCCCAAGTAGCTGGGATCACAGGCACACGCCACCACGCCTGGCTAATTTTTGTATTTTTAGTAGAGATGGGGTTTTACCATGTTGGCCAGGCTGGTCTCGAACTCCTGATCTCAAGTCATCCGCCTGCCTCGGCCTCCCAAAGTGCTGGGATTATAGGCGTGAGCCACTGCGCCCAGCCTGCGATTTTTATACATTGATTTTGGGTATTGCGACTTTGCCAACGTTTTTTATCAGCTTAAGGAGCTTTTGGGCCAAGACTATGGGGTTTTCTAGATATAGGATCATGTCATCTGCAAACACTTTGTAGCATGGTGGAAGTGGGATCCGTCCTTGTTCACATATGCCAGTAGCAGCTGCAGCTGCAGTGTGGTAGGGTGCACACTGCTTGACTGCAACAGGGTGCTAGTGGATTCCAGGGTGTCAGCCTTCATGCATGCATTTGCAGCAGCAACTGGCATTTACAGCACGGCTCGGGGGATGGGGCCCCAGCCAGTAACTGTGCGCTCCTTCATGCTGGTGATGTTGTTTGCACTCTCTGTACAAGTTCCCGTGGGCAGCAGTGGCCACTCAGGTCAGGTGTGGGTCTGCTTTTCTCCATGCCTAGTTTTATGCTAACAGCAGTTTTGGTGCTGGCAGGGAGGAGGCTGGCGGGCTCCGTGCCTGCCAATGCTCCGACAACAATGGCGGTATGGCAGAAGGAGGGAGGCAGGGGGAGAGGCAGGGCATACTCAGCCAGCAGCAGTGGCATTGCAGAGTGCACATGCACACATGTACTGGTGAGGGAGGGAAGGCTGCATCTGCTGGTGCACACACACAACAGCAAAGCAATGTAGAGGGTGGCTGTGGGCGAGTGTGCAGGCAAAGCTGCATGGGGGAGGCTGCAGTTGGGGGAGGGTGCAGGTGGGCTGGAGCGAGTCCACTGGGGCTGCTCTTCTCTGCTGGAGCACTCTGCCAGTCAGGAGCAGTCTCCTAGCGCAGGGGCTATGATATGGGCCCGCAGGAGATACCCGGGGGCTGCACTGCAAGCAGGCATGACCAGGCTGAGGCCCCAGGAGAGGCCAATAGACTGAGGGGTGTTCAGGTCAGACCAGCCGTGTCTTATGGGCATGATTCCCTGCAGCGTTCAGGTCCGACAGTTCCCCTAAGGCTAAAGTCTTCTATAGGAGTGAGTCAAGCCTAGGGAGATGGGCCACAATGACCATGCTCCACTACAGATGCTCCTGTACCAAACTCTCTGGGCTCCACTCCAGCTGGAGTTCTGCCCCTGCCAGTTCTCTAAGTAGCTCTCACTGCCAATTCAACTGTCCATGGTGGTCAAGGAGTGTTCTTCTGCAGGGATTCCAGAGGCCCGAGGCGAGAGTGGGTTGCTCCTTGCCTGTTCAACCCCTTCCCCAGGAGTTACTGGGGACCAGAAATGACCTGGTGTATGGTAGCCCTAAGCAGTGTTCCCAGCTTCCTCCCACTTCCACCCAGTATCTGTATCTCCCTTCTGTCTGCTCTCAATGTCTTCCCTCAAGATCTGCTAGGAGTGTGCTAGTCTTCCTGATGCCCTGTCCCTTTGTGGGAGACATTCCTCCTGGCTGTATCTAGTCGGCCATCTTGCACCCTTTTTTATTTCTCTGCGTATCTTTGAATGGACATTTATTTTCATTTTTCATGTGCATGTACCTAAGAATAGAATTTCTGAGTCATAGGGTATGTGTATGTTCAGCTCAGCATATACAGCTAAGCAATTTTCAAAGTGGTTATTCTAATTTATATTCGTATCAGCAGTATCATAGTTCCACTGCTCTACGTCCTCACTGACACTTGGTATACCTTGGTAGCTTTTGTCATTATGATGGATGTGTGATAGTATATAGTATCTCATTTTTCTGTTTTAATTTCTGTTTGATTTAATTTTCTCTCAAGTTTTAAGTTTCTTTTAATATAGACAAGATGCTTTCTCTCTCTTTTTTTAACTTTCCAATTTTTTTGCTTAAGGTGCTGGAGTTTACATTCTCAGTTTTGCTGATTGTATCCCTATTGTGTTGTTCATGTTACTCAGTCTCCTCTTCTTTCCTTTAAATTGGTAATTAGAGTTAAAGGCTTGACCTATTCAGATGTTTTGACAAGAGTGTCTTACATGTGGCATTATGTACAGTCATGTGTCACTTAACCACAGAGATACATTCTGAGAAATGCATCATTAAGAGATTTTGTCATTGTGTAAACATCACAGAGTGCACTTACACAAACCTAGATGGTGTAGCCTACCACCTACCTAGGCTATACAGCCTATTGCTCCTAGGCTAAAAATTCATACAGCACGTTACTGTACTGAATAATCTAGGGAACTGTAGCACAAAGGTCAGTATTTGTGTATCTAAGCATATCTAAACATAGAAAAAATACAGTAAAAATATGATATAAAAGATTTAAAATGTACATATCTATACATGTGTATTGGTCACTTGCAAGACTTGAAGTTGCTCTAGGTGAGTCTGTGAGTGAGTGGTGAGTGAATGTGAAGGCTTAGGACATTACTGTATACTACTGTAGATTTTACAAACACTGTACAATTAGGCTACATTATATTTGTAAAATAATATGTTTTTCTTCAATAATAAATTAACCTCAGCTTACTGTAACTTTTTAACTTTATAAACTTTTAACATTTTTAAACTTTTTTACTTTTGTAATAGCACAACTACAAGCACACATTGTACAGCTATGCAAAAATATTTTCTTTCTTTATATCCTTATTCTGTTACCTTTCTTTTACTTATTTATTTATATTTACTTTTTAAACTTTTCTGTTAAAAACTAAGACACATACACACACACACACATTAGTCAAGGCCTATACAGGGTCAGGATCATCACTATCACTGTCTTCCACCATCATATCTTGTCCCACTGGAAGGTCTTAAGGGACAATAACACACATAAAGCTGTCATCTCCTATGATAACAATACCTTCTTCTGGAATACCTTTTGAAGGACCTGCATGAGGCTGTTTTATAGTTAACTTTTTTTAATAGGTAGAAGGAGTACATTCTAAAATAATAAAAAGTATAGTAAATACATAAACCAGTAACAGTCATTTATTATCATTAATAAGTATTATGTACTGTACATAATTGCATGTGCTATACTTTTATACAACTGGCAGTGCAGTAGGTTTGCTTACACTAGCATCAACATATTCTTCACAAACATGTTTGTGAAGAATATGTTGAGATATGACAGGACAGCTATGTGAGTAGGTGATAGGAAGGTTTTGGCCCCATTATATCTTATGGGACTACTGTTACATATGTGTTCTGGAGTTGACCAAAACATTGTTATACAGCACATGACTGTCCTTTTTATAGCCTTACACGTATCTTAGTCACTTCAGGCTGCTGTAACAAGTTACCATACACTGATGGGTTAAACAGTGTATTAGTCCATACTCACATTGCTATAAAAAACTACCTGAGACTAGATAATTTATAAAGAAAAGAGGTTTAATTAACTCACAGTCCTGCAGGCTATACAGGAGGGGCATGGCTGGGAAACTCAGGAAACTTACAATCATGGCAGAAGGCAAAGGGGAAGCAGGCACATCTTACATGGTCAAAGAAGGAGGAAGAGAGTGAAGGGGAAGTGCTACATACTTTTATTCAACCAGATCTTGTGAGAACTCATTCCCTATCATGTGAACAACAAGGGTGAAGTATGCCCCCATGATCCAGTCACCTTCCACCAGGCCCCTCTTCCAATATTGGGGATTACAATTCAACATGATATTTGGGTAGGGACACAAATCCAAACCATATCAAACAACAAGTATGTATTTCTCATGGGTCTGGAGCCTGCCAAGTCTGAGATCAGTGTGCCAGCATGGTTGGATTCAGGATACGGGTCCTCTGCCTAGTCCTCACATGGCCTTTCCTTGGTGTGTGCATGTGGAACGGAAACAAGCTCTCATGTCTTTTATTACAAGGGCACTAATCTCATCCTGAGAGCTGTGTCCTCATGACCTAATTCCTTTCAAAGGCCCCATCTCCAAATACCATCACATTGGAGACTAGGCTTTTAACACATGAACTGGGGTGGCAGTGGGGGTGGGGGGACACAAACATTTAGGTAATAGCACAGCAGGAGCTTCATCATGTCTGTTTATCTCCTCTACTGTGAAGTTCAGGTTGATCACTGGGCTCAGATTTTGTCAGCCCAGTCCATCCATTATAACACTTTCCATGTGTTTTTCTCCTCAGGATTTTTTCCACTTTCTGAAGATTGTTGTCTAGGGCTGTATTTCATTAGAAGTTGCAAAATGGTGATGCTGTAATTTTACAGTTTCTTCTGCATTTATTAGCTGGGTGTTTCCTATAACATAACTTGCCCCTATGCCATCAACTATTAGGATTCACTGAGGTATGGAACACACAAGAAGTGAAGGATGAATGTTTAATTCTTTTGCAATATTTTCACTTTTCAGAACAAATAGTTGTTTCCATAGGAGCTTCCAAAGATGAGTAGTGAGTTGGTATTGCTCGTGTTTTGTTTTTCTTTTAAAGTGTCCTTGTGACTCAGAGATGTTCCTGTATTTAATATGTTTTAAACCATTGCAGTCACTAATCTCTTTGATGTTCAAATTGTTTCATTTTTGTCCAGTGAGAACCTCCTCAGCTTGGTTTCTGAATCTTTTTGACATGCTTTCTGGTATGATAATTTGGTCCAGGCTTATCTGGTACAATCCTGACCCCAGATCTGGAATCAGCTGTCTCTCTAATACAGCCTGGTTTCTTTTCATGGTAAGTATTTTTAGAGCACTCAGTCTGTATACTAATCAACTGGTCGTAGTTTGTTGCTTTTTTAGTGTACATAGCCAGTAATTATGCATTACATTTTGAAGATGATACACATCTTGGCTTCCATCCTGAATTGCTCCTCTATGCCCTTATAGATAATCATTTTTATCAGTTTTTGTTTTAATCTTCCAGTTTTTAAAAATATAAGCAAATGTGATGTGTGTCATGCGCATCGGTGTGAAGAGACCACCAAACAGGCTTTGTGGGAGCAATAAAGCTTTTTAATCACCTGAGTGCAGGCGGACTGAGTCTGAAAAGAGAGTCAGCGAAGGGAGATAAGGGTGGGGCCGTTTTATAGGATTTGGGTAGGTAAAGGAAAATTACAGTCAAAGGGGGGTTGTTCTCTGGCGGGCAGGAGTGGGGGTCATGAGGTGCTCAGTGGGGTAGCTTTTTGAGCCAGGATGAACCAGGAAAAGGACTTTCACAAGGTAATGTCATCACTTAAGGCAAGGACTGGCCATTTTCACTTCTTTTGTGGTGGAATGTCATCAGTTAAGGGGGGGCGGGGCATTTTCACTCTTTTGTGATTCTTCAGTTACTTCAGGCCATCTGGGTGTATATACATGCAAGTCACAGGGGATGCGATGGCTTGGCTTGGGCTCAGAGGCTGGACATTGTGGGTATTTATTTCCTCCCCAACACAAGTAGAAGGTGGCATATTCTACACTACTACTATCCATGGAAATTTCTGCATTGATGAAAATTGTCTGTATCTGCACTGTCCAACACAGTAGCCACTAGTTTACCTGAGGCTGTTGAGCACCTGAAACATGGTGAGTGTGAGTGAGGTATTGAGTTTATAATTTTATTTGAATTTATTTATTAAAATTAAATGGCTGCATGTAGCTAGTGACCACCATATTGAACAACAACAGCTCTCTCCATTTTTTTGCACTGCATTTTTCGTTTATAATATGTCCTGGAGGTCAATCCATAGCAGTGTAGAGAGGGGATCTTCGTTGCCTTTTATACATGCATGGTACTCTAGGAAGTATCTTAGATTACTTAATCAGCCTTCTATTGGTGGACATCTGTCTTATATCTAATCTGCTGTTATGAATTGTTCTGCCAGGAATGGCCTTGTGTTTATGCCTGTTTGTCTGTTTGCATTATATCTTTGGAATAGATTCTTAGGAAAGAGATTGCTGGTTCCAAGAATTAATGCCTATGTCATTCTATTAAATAGCATCAAATTCCTTCCACAGGGAATGTACCATTTGAAATTACTTCTAGCAATGCATGACAATGCCTGTTTCCTCACAGTCTCTCTAAGAGGAACTCTGCAGGGAAGTAAACATCATGTGAGAAATCTGTGAAAATCATCTTACTAAATCAGGAGAGTCTGATGTTCAGACTGGGGTCCTAGTGCTGTGCTTGTCTTTGAGAACTTGGTCTTTACTCCTATCTCCTGTGGCTCTGGGTCCAGTCCCTCAGTGAAGGAGAAGAGTTCTTACATGAAGCAGAAACTCCATGTTACCTCAGATGGACACCTCAAATGACTAAATGGAAAAAAATCACTCCCTTAGGGATCAGGCAGACTCAAAACAAGTTCAGAAACATACCACTCCTACACAGTAAAGAGAAATGGAGAAAGTAAAACTTCTACTTTCTACTTGTGAGAAGAACTAAGACTGCAAGCACACAAGTGTTGCCTTGCCCTTTCCTCTGTATGAGTGAGGTAGGTCAGGAGCAAGTAGTGGTAGCCCTTTAGCCCTAGGCAAGCAGGCGGAAGCACGGGTTACAAGGTGCCTCAGTTTCCCAAGGTAGCAGTCTCTTTCCACTCAACCATATCATTTTCTATTTAGATGCTGGGTGTATTAGGCCATACTTGTGTTGCTATAAAGACATACCCGAGGCTGGGTAACTTATTTTTATTTTATTTTATTTATTTATTTGTTTTGAGATGGAGTCTCGCTCTGTCACCCAGGCTGGAGTGCAGTGGCTCGATCTCAGCTCACTGCAAGCTCCGCCTCCCGGGTTCACGCCATTCTCCTGCCTCAACCTCTGGAGTAGCTGGGACTACAGGCGCCCGCCACCACGTCCAGCTAATTTTTTGTATTTTTAGTGGAGACGGGCTTTCACCGTGTTAGCCAGGATGGTCTCCATCTCCTGACCTTGTGATCCACCCGCCTCAGCTTCCCAAAGTGCTGGGATTACAGGTGTGAGCCACCACGCCTGGCCAAGGCTGGGTAATTTATAAAGAAAAGGTGCTCACAGTTCTGCAGGCTGTACAAGCATGGCACCAACATCTGCTTGGCTTCTGGTGAGGGCCTCAGGAAACTTACAGTCATGGTGAAAGGCAGAGCAGGAGGAGGCATGTCACACAGCAGTAGTGGGAGCAAGAAAGAGATGAGGGAGGTGCCACACACTTTTAAACAAACGAATCTCATGAACTCACTCACTATTGCAAGGACAACACCAAGACATTCATGAGGGATTTGCCCTCATGAGTGAAGTAGGTCAGGAGCAGGTAGTAGCCCTTTAGCAGTATGCAAGCAGGCAGAGGCATGGGTTACAAAGTGCCTCAGTTTCCCAAGGTAGCAGTCTCTTTCCACTCAACCATATCACTTTCTGTTTAGATGCTTGGTGTATTAGGCAGCTCCACCCCTGTAGCTTTGCAGGCTGTAGCCCTGTGGCTGATCTCATGGATTGGACTTGACTGCCTGTGACTTCTCCAGGCTCAGGTTGTGAGCTGTCCATGGCTCTACCGTTCTGGGGTCTGCAGGGGAGTGGCCCCCTTTTCACAGCTCCACTAGGCAGTGCCTCACTGGGGACTCTGTGTTGGGCCTCCAACTCCATATTTCTCCTCCAAACCAGGCTTCTGCCTAGGCACTCAGGCTTTCTGATACATTTTCTGAAATCTAGGGGGAAGCTTCCAAGCCTCCTTAACTCTTGTATTCCATGTGCCCACAGACTTAACACCATGTGGAAGCTGCCAAGGCTTATCGTGACTTGCACTCTCCAAAATGGCTTATTACTTGTTATTGGTCATTTCAGGTTTTGGATTTCTTCATGGTTCAATCTTGGTAGGTTGTATGTGTCTAGGTATTTATCTATTCCTCTAGGTTTTCCAATTTATTAGCATGTAGTTGCTCATAGTAGCCTCTGATGATCCTTTGAATTTTTGCACTATCATTTGTAAGGTCTCATTTTTCGTTTCTGATTTTATTTATTTGGATCTTCTCTCTTTTTTCTTAATCTGGCTCAAGGTTTGTCAATTTTGTTTATCTTTTAAAAAAAACAACCTTTTGTTCATTGACATTTTGTATTGTTTTCTTCATTTCAATTTCATTTGTTTCTGATGTGATCTTTATTCTTTCTTTCTTTTCTTTTCTTTTCTTTCATTTTTCTTGAGACAGGGTGTCTCTCTGTCACCCAGGCTGGAGTGCAGTGTCACGATCTCAGCTCACTCCAACCTCCGTCTCCTAGACTCAAGTGATCCTCCTGCCTCAGTTTCCTGACTAGCTGGGACTACAGGCATGTGCCGCCACGCCCAGCTAATTTTGTATTTTTTTGTAGGGACAGGGTTTCGCCATGTTGCCCAGGTTGGTCTCAAACTCCTGAGCTCAGGTGGTCTGCCCACCTCAGCCTCCCACAGTTCTGAGATTATAGGTGTGAGCCACCATACCTGGCCTGTTATTTGTTTTTTCTACTAATTTTAGGTTTGGTTTGCCCTTGACTTTCTTGTTCTTTAAGATGCATCATTAGGTTGTTTATTTGATGTTTTTCTTCTTTTTTGATGTAGGCACGTAATAACTGTAAGCTTTCCTCTTAGTACTGCTTTTGCTGTATTCCACATATTTTGGCATTCTGTGTTTCCGTTATCATCTGTTTCAAGAAATTTTTCAATTTCCTTCTTAATTTCTTTTTTGACACACTGTTCATTTGGGAACATATTGTTTAATTTCTATGTATTTGTAGTTTCCAAATTTCCTCTTGCCATTTCTAGTTTTATTCCATTGTGATCAGAGAATATACTTGATATAATTTAAATTTTTTTGAATGTTTTAAGACTTGTTTTGTGGCCTAATGTATTGTCTTTGCTTGAGAATGATTCATGTGCTAAGGAGAAGATTGTACATTCTAAAGTCATTGGATGAAGTGTTCTGTAAATATCAATTAGGTCAATTTAGTCTGTACTGCAGATTAAGTCCAGTGTTTCTTTGTTGATTTTCTGTCTGGGTGATCTGTTCAATGCTGAAAGAGGAGAGTTGAAGTCTCCAACTATTATTGTATTGGGGTCTATCTCTTCCTTTAGCTCTAGTAATACTTGCTTTATATATCTAGGTACTTCAGTGTTGGGTGCATATATATTTATGGTTGTTATATCCTCTTGCTGAATTGAATTATATGTAATTATATAATGACCATCTTTGTCTCTTTTTGTAATTTTCATCTTGAAATCTATTTTGTTGGATGTAAGTATTGCTATTCTTGCTCTTTTTTGGTTTCCATTGGCATAGAATATCTTTTTCCACCCCTTTATTTTCAGCCTGTGTGTGCCTTTATAGGTGAAGTGTATTTCTTACAGACAACAATCCTTGGGTCTTGTTTTTAAATCTATTAAGCCATTCTACGTCTGTGACTGAAGAGTTTAGTCCATTTACATTCAATGTTATTATTGTAAGTAAGGACTTACTTCTGCCATTTTGTTATTTGTTGTCTGGTTATTTTGTAGTCTTTTCTTCCTTCTTTCCTTCCTTCCTGTCTTCCTTCTAGTGAAGATGAATTTCTTTGGTGTTATGTTTTAATTTCTTGCCTTTTATTTTTTGTGTATCCATTGTATGACTTTTGGTTTAAGGTTACCATGCGGCTTTCAAATAAAATCTTGAAACTTATTATTTTATTCTTATGTTTGCAGTATGCTCTTGTTTGTGCCCATCTTTCTTGGGAAGGCTTTCTAGGTATTTGAAGAGCCTTGAATGTTGTGATCTAAGTTTTTG